ATAGCAACTAGCTATTTACTTCTAGTCCCGTTTTCATTATACACCTCTTGAGAGTAGGGATTAGGTATTTACTGAGGGCATTTCTCCAGAAACCAGTAGAGTACTTGACATATAGCTGGCATTTTTTACATTTTCTGATGTACCCTTGAATGTTGAAAATAACAGTTGTGCAAGCTTTAGTCTGAAATGGGAAGTACAACAGGAACAAGAAATAACAGTAAAGATTACTGTTGACAGTAATAAGTCAAGCAAGAGAACACAAAGGCAGAATGTGGGCAGCATTAATAGATTTTGTATAGAATCAGCACAACTTAATCACTTATGAAATAATGGGTTTAATATAGTGGCATGTCTGCTATTTCACTGGGGGTTCAGTATGGGTAATTAGATGGATGGTGATTTTCTTAACAAAGATAGGAATACAGAAGGAAAAGAAAGTTCAGCAAACATCTTAAAAGCTTGGATTCAAACTCAGGATAAGATTAATTTGGGATATAATCTGTTAATCACCAGGCAACCGTAGAAGAAAGCTGTTCTTAAATTTTAGTACCAGTGAATAAAAATAATTTAATATATTATAACTTTGTTCGAATTTATGTCAACTGTATCTTTTAAATTCCTTAGAGGAATAAGAAAAGTATTCCACTTATTATTGAATCCATTTGAGATTATAATTCACTAGTTCTGTAACAGAAACTGCGGAGAGAGAAATAGATTAAATAAATGTCTCTAAAATTCCTGAATTACAACGAGGAGAAATAACACAGCCTGTCAATTCAAGTTATCATCACAGTTTTTTATTACCTGTTAGACAAAATATAAATTTGATTTAATGCTAAATAAATTAGAATTGATTTAAATCTATAATAGAGTTTGGGGGGTTATTGAGATTTGTTTAGATTCTTGATATTATAACTGCATATTAGAAATAACCAAACTGATACAAAATACTACATCTAGCATAAATTCGTTACTTACATGAAAATGGTAAATCTCTGCAATCTCCTTCTTTCATAAGTCTTCCTTGAGACCAAAGGAAAACAAATCCACTATTTCACTAGCAAAATGTTTTCCCTAAGATTTCCTTGGAACATTTAAATAATGTCTCTTGTTTTCTTTAACAATAGCACAGAAATGGATAGTCTTATGATCATTTGATTTCTCAGACAATCTGTATCAAAATCATCATAGGTATTGTAAATCTGAAAATTTAAAAGAGATTCATTAGTCCCTAAAATTGAAAAACAGAAAATGATGATATGGAATCTTCTGACTCATTTTGTTCAAAATGTATAAATGGTTATGAAATCTTTCAGAATCTTGACTCCAGCATAATTTGAATTATCACTAACCATTTCTGGACTATTTTTGAAGGAAAACCAAATAAATTGACTTGATGTGACCTTAGCTCTTTTAAATCCTAGTGATGAAGCTTCTAAAGATGTGGAATGGGAATAAATAGAAATAGGGGTCTCAATCATCTAGCAGAGGGGAATATGGGTGTTTTGCTGGTGGGTATAGTATGTCTGAGGAGGTGTGAACTTACTTTGCTATTCCTAAATCAGGTATAGTGTTTTAAACAATGGCATCTAAATAAGGAAAAAGAAAAGATCTGGAGAATTTGAGGCTTGACTGGTATTCAAGAATCTAGAGCTTGTCCTTTGACTTCAGTACAGTGTCACTGAAAAGTTACTCATTTGACATAAGGCACTTGGAGCTAAAATTGTAAAAAGAATGAATAAAAATCTGAATGTTTTAAAAATACAAAAAGAATCATCTCCAAATATACCCCCAAGGCAATAATGTAAATGCAATCTATTTATATATATACACATATATAATTTATATATAATTAATAATTATATTTCTATATATACATATAAATATGACAAATAGCACCATCACCAACAGGCTTCTTCTTTCACCTCACCATGTATGAAGAACACCACCCTAGATTTTATAATTTCCTTATATTTACCTCTGTTCTTCATTATAAAATGTAATCATCAGCTAAAAAGTTGCTTGTAATCTTCACACTGTAACTTCCTACAGAAAACCACTAGGAAACAAATTACAGGTTAGATGCCAGCAGTATGCTAAAAAAAAACAAACAAAAACATAGTTTAATAACAGCTGCTCCCATCTGGCATTACTGCATGAAATACAAAGATGCAGAGCTCAGGTGTGAAACTGCTAATTCACAAGAATCGGGGGGAGTCTTCATTTGACTCTTTATTATCTTTAATGAGAAGATAAAACTTGTCACTGATGAATTTTAAGACTGAATAAAGTATTTCCCAAGGAGTTATAGATAGGACTAATTTCAAGTACTTTTCTTGTATTCACATAGATCAGTCTGCTGAAATACTTTAGAGTTACTCTCCTAGGATTGTGAACTCAATGTGAAAAATCAGCTTAAATTTATGAAGCACCTCCTTCACTCAGCTCATTGGTAAGAAACCCAGTGAATGGAGATAGGAAGCATTTATGGGAATATGAGAAAAACAGCCTAATATAATCCCAAGTGTATTACATAGTGCAGAAAGAGATGTGAGAGGAATGCAACAATAGGATATAGCCCTTTGAAAACCTCCCAGAGAAGAGATGCAGTGTATCAGTTCTGGGGAGGTCTGTGGTGAGATTAGGGAGAGGCAAAAATTGGGTATCTCCCAATTATCATCTCAAGAAAATCCCAAAAGGGAAGGTGAACAAGATCAACACTGAATGAATATAGGCAAAAATGACAGCTGATAGAG